CATTCCTGCCCTCTTGTCAATGTTTTTGAATCCTCTATTATTTCCCGTTTACAGACCATCTTTATTGAATCGAATTCATCATTTCAAATTTATATAGTCGGAGGTGAAATTTCACCACTGATAGCTTTGGAGGTCAAGATTATTCAGATCACAATATTATCTTTTTGATAATATAAATGACAATCTAGACGAAAAGAACAGATACATGGTGTTACGTACCTCTAATAGGTTGATATAGGTAGTATGACACCACACGCGTCAACTGGTAGTGCTTGCTTGCTGGATAAAAGTGGCTAATAAAAGTGCTGTCCAGCTGTTTAAATCAGTCAAATAGTCGTAAATAACATGACAGATTCGCCTATTTGTACCCGATATCTATTTCAAACTTGGGTTTGTTTCACACAAACAGAGGCATAATTAAATTATTTACCTGCTACTATCTACAGAAATGGTCTTACTTCATATGTGTTATTCAAATAAAAATGCATACAGCTCTTAAGATAAATCTAACGCATCGGGTTCAGTGGTAGAGCGCAGGATCTTCATGTTCATCGACTGCTATGAGAACGGTGGGCGTAGATCCAATCCTAGTATCTAATAAAATTAATATTCTGACGACGTCACAATAGCTAAATATGCCCATTTTAGGTATTTTTCCCACTCAACCGAAACGCCAAAGTTTTCAGACAGATGATGATCAGTTGACAAGAATATTTGATCAATGTAATTTAAAGCTTAGCTCCAAAACTGATGTTTAAATTAAAGGACGTTACTATTCTGCAGGTGTTATCAACCGCCGACCTGAAGGGGTAACAGGGGTTTACCATATGATGCCAGTATACTATTGGCAGCAAATGCCCGGAAAAAATAAAGAAGAGGTAGGGAGTGGGGCCTCCGTGAAGGGCAATTTAGGAGGTTATAGTAACTACTGAGTCCAGAGTGGGGAAAACGGTCTATAAGAACTCAAGGCCACACACTAGACCTACGATGGAAATGTTCACACGTCATTTCCAGAACACATGTCCCAACAAGTGCTGAAATTTCGTGGGGCTTACTGACTTCCTTTTCTGGAATTTCCACGGTATGAGTCCAGAATTTTTCTGTACAAGTTTTTGTGCATCATCTCCTTAGATACTGGCAATTCATATTTGGCAGTACAAGCATCGGAGACAAACCGAAAGCGGAAGGAGTATAAGGATACCTCACACTAAAGATACCCGGAACAGAAGACGACACGCCCTACTCAACTAGGTGTGATTACACTACCAATGTATCACCAAACTTTATGGCTAGAAGCTCTATGGCCAAGAAGTTTGCGTGTAAACCTGCCACTTTTCTACAAGCTCCTGAACTAAATAATCCTTGTATCTTTTAATGGTAATCGATTTTCAGATGACAATGGTTGAAACCTGGTACACACTAAAAGTACAGAAACCGGATAAAACACCTGCAAGGCAAAATTTTGACTTGATCAGGTGTGCTCAGACGTAGAACAAACTATCAAAAGAAGGGCGTCAGTCAAGCATGCTGTTCAACTTTTAAGACAAACTTGACATGGCTGACTGAGAAAAAGGAATATTCTTTCTACGGCCGTATGCATCTGTAAAGTACCAATGGTTGTTAGCATTTTTGGTATGAACTCTTACTACAAGTTCAGAAAGAACACTGGCTAAAGAGTGAAGATTCTGAATAAAGCACAAGTCACTAGATGAAATTTCAATGAAATTGACGTTTGATCTTATTAGTTATAAGATAACGGGTTATATTAAAATTTTGGGATATATTATTTTTAGTAACGAAGCAGAAGTCTGAGATGACTCGTGTTAGGGTGTAGCATAGGGGTTCCATAATTAATTATATAACCGCTATTACTATCAGCGATAACGTATATTAAAATAATGTCAGTTCACTGATTTCAAATCTCAAAAGTTGGGTGAGAATAGATTTTGATATATTAGAGTTCGAAACATGTTCTTTTTTTCCTTCACGTTCCCAATGGAACATAGGGCTCCAAGCTAGAGGCTTGAAGTTTCTGTGGCGGTGTTAATTTTTGCAGGATGAGGTTATTAGCCTCATGCCCAACTTTCTCTCTTTACCAGTCTCACTACTGGCTTAGTGAGGTAAAGGAGTGCGTCGGCCGGAGATCGAACCCCGGACCATGTGAATGGTAGGCGAGCATCCTAACTGCTGTGCCGCCGAAACACGTTAATGTGATTATATTCATAAATCAGAAAATAAATAGTTCGTTTGCAAAGGTGTAACCACAAGTGGTGAAGGAGTTCGTACATGTAAGATGGAGAGCCGCACACAAAAGGTGACATGGCACAAAGTACAGTATTTGTGAATTTGTATGTCCTCCATCAGGCATGGGAGGCGTTTCTGAACCTATTTCTCTTGGATACGGAGCACTGACTGTTTTAATCTGATTACAGTGGCCTCTGATGTTTGGACAGCCAGTATCTCGAGGCTTCCGGCAATTTATCTGGTACTGAATAGACGACTGAAAAATATGCTTCAATGCTAACTTGATGGCCTGTTTGGACCAAATGTCATAGTGTAGAACTGTTGATGGCTTTCCTTACACCTACAATTAGCTCGACTGACAGGTGTCCCCAAGGACAAAAAATTAGGCTCAATGTTACTTCAAATTATATATACAATCAAAGATTACAATAATGATAATTTATATTTCGTGTGAACTAGTGTTTACAAGGAATGTATGTCGTTTTTATAGGCACGATCGGTTATGCTATAAATTATAATCTCGAAGTATCATAAATTAATACTTTTTCAAAAGTTTAGATTGTTCGATTATTGTACAAACAATGCGAACAGGTTCTTATATATGTTAAATTGTATACCCTTTACTCAGGTCACCATCAAAGTTGAGCGACAACTCAAATTTTGTTCACTTTCCTACTGATAGTTATGGTCAACCAGTGAACAGCATATATTTGAGTAAGAGCTATACCGTAACTTGATTTAACGCAGGAGGAGGAGAACTTCCAGGGAAACTGGAAAACTTTACATAAAACACAGTAAGCAGGTTTAAAGAACTGAGTTTTGCTTATACTCGCTCGTCTACTGAATGTTGAACAATGATTTGGAAGTATGGCAGTGTCACAAAAGCGGTAATTTAAAAGCGACAATTTGTTAACGCGTCATGTAAGATGCTTTACGGGTTTTGAATATTCATGAAACCACATTTAAAATGACAACAACACAAAAACAGACCAGTGATCTTTCCTCATATACTAATTTTCTGTCGGTAAACTGTTGTAAGAGTTTGACTATAAAGGACTTTTTGGGTTGTAATCAACACAGACTAAACACGAAGACATTTAGATGAAAGTCGCGAACAAACTAAGAATAATAACAAAGTATGCATAAAACTGGCTGGTGGTTCTCCGCATATAATGTACAAGGAACTAAGTATTAGGACATTTAATAGCAATGATGGCACTAATAGTTCAATTGAAGTGATACTGAATTGTGTAACCCTGCAGTGGTCATATTAATATGTCAAGATCTAATAGGTTGAAAACGCTCATTGATGCAAATTTTTAGAAATTGTATATTGGAATACTCTCCAAAAGCTTTCTCAAACTTTTGATCACCGAGTACATTACTTTATCAAAGTTTCGTATCTTATAATTATTTATGTGAAGTTTTCTGGCCTGTTAGTCACATTATCTGTTGAAATTAAAATGGTTTTTTCGAAGCTTAGTAGTACTCACAAATACGTGATGAGCTATCTTTTCAAGCACTTTAATTAATACAGTTTTAAATAAATTCTAAAATAGTGGGTCATTTTTCGTCACGAAGTGGAGACTAGTTTAACATCACATTCAGAAGAAGAACTTCATAAGCCTGTAGTCGACTGATAGCTTATTACTTGCTGCCTCTAACGGTAGTGCTAGTTTTATTCCTCTTAATTCCACTGAGAAATGTTTGTGTCAACGATGTGCTACTAAGCGATGAATAAATCGTCGAGTGAATACCTAACACTGATGTTAAACTCAACTGTGTTGAAAATGATTGTCAATAATTCGATAGTAGTGCGCACAAAGGTTGAATCACAGGGTGTATTTAAAAAATGGCAATGAATAATGCAGAAATGAGCTTAAATGTAAGGGTTTGGAACAGCATTTTTCAGTTAAAAATTAAATAGTTAACGAAACTTTCCTTCGTCGGCTTTGCGTCCGTTCTGTAAAACTGAGTGAGGACAAACTTTAAAATATCTTTTATCAGAAGCTGTTTACGACATAAAACAATGTGGAAGCAGTTAAAATTCTTAAAAGATTTTTGTGATCAGTAAATACTGTGAAAGTTTTCATTCAGTAAAACTGAATCACTGAAAAATCATCTGTGAAAAAATAAAAGCAGCTAAAATTATGCTTAAGTAACTAGCTGCTCCTTTGTTTCAGCGTTAGATTTTTTCTAATTTTTCCCAATTTGAGTGGCCGTAACATGAAAACAGAAATTCAGCCACAGTTTCACTAGTTAGATAAAGGAGCTTGGGGAATCCACTTGATTACAATTTATAAATATATATTCCTTATACAAGGATTGGTGGATTTAAATTCTTTAAGTTAGTTACCAACCTCTAACTGAAATGATACTTACATTTTTTTGATATTACGGATAAGCAAGTGTATATTTTAAAAACCAAACGGTATGTTTTTCACAAAATGTATATTGTTAAAACAGAAATGTTTGAAAGAGGCTTCCTGGATTGTTTCAGGCAGGTGATAGGATGTAAACTCTTGGCTCACAAATGAAAATGGAAAAAATTTGTTATCTCTACGCAACTTTTTAGCCTGACATTTACTTACTCTAAATGTTCTCTTCTGAAGTACTTGCATTAAATTTCAGGTTTTTCACTATACGTTCTTCAGAATGATATTACTGTGATTTGTTTGTGATAAATTTATTATTGACTAATTTCTCCATTTATTAACCGTATTACTCATGCTCACAAGTGGTTTATTCCTTGGTAGTGGTAGATCTCGCATAAAATGAATTCAGCAGGAAAAGACATTCAACAGATTGAAAATTTTCAGAAGAGCTTGGATGAATATGTGGAAGGTACCTCACATATGATAACAACGAAGCAATTAAAAAATTTTTCAGAGAAGGAGAAGTTAAAGAATCAATTATCTTCAGCAAAAGCGGAAAAGAGCCAGTTGATAGATAAAATAAAGTCAGGTAAACAAGAAATAGTTCTCATCTTTATTCAACTTTCAGCGAAAGAAGAACTGAAAAAGATTATTGAAGAAAATGAAAAAATACGAAGTTAGATTCACATTTTCACTTTCTAATATTCTCCGATAGTTAAAAAAAGAGTTCTAATTAGAATGTTGAGGATCATGAGAGAAAGACAAAACAAGTAAGAAATATTTATTACTCCTCGCCATGCAGTTTCATATTCGGGAAACTAATTAGTTCTACTGTATTATATTTTGCTTTGGAAAAGCTTCTGTATACGAGCAGTTAATCTGCTGGAGATGGCTGGAGAAATAAAACTGTGACTGTCTTTTCGATTAATATATACGTATATAATATGTTTCACAGGATATGATAATAAGATTGACATAGATGATAAACGTACAGGGAAAGATGACAACACCAAAGCAGGGGAATTTTAAAAATAGATAGTGCTGCCATACAAAAAGGTATTCTTTATAGCCCTACATCGAATTCTGAAGAGGGCAGGGATAAAAAGGAAATCTGAACTCATAAACTCACCCTGAAACAGATTATTTTGGTTAAAGGATCTTTTAGAACCCACCAAACAGATTAAATTGGTTTTTTGGTATTAACTTGCGATGACTTTGAGGTCAAAAACATAGGTCGAAATAATAAGCTAGATTTAAACGGTTAGCGGAGAAAAACGCTCAAGCGAGATCCAGACTATTTTTACTAGTTTCTTTTGTTTCGAATGGAATACAGGGTTTCGGAGGCATAGAAATCTAGGCTGTGAGACCTTAATATGATAAGAAGTCCTACACAGACTAAGCTATTGCACTACGAGTACAATCGGGTGAAATAATATGGCAGTAATAAGTTGTAGTGTACTTGTGTGGAGAGACAGGCTAATAACTGAGGTTTCGTTTATTGAAAAAAATGAGAATACATGCAATTAAAATCGTTTGACATCGGTTTCGGATATAAGATAAATTCTACTACGACATTTTATTCGCTACGTTTGATGAAAACATTCCCAAATACTAAGAAGAGAATTCTTATTTCATGTGTCAGAAAACATCTCAGTGTACATGAAATAGATGTTAGATTTTCAAAAATTATCAAAAATTTCAATTTCATAACTTAAAACTACGGCGAGACTTTATCAGAAGGATGTTAACTGACTTTTCTAATTTGAAGCTCAAGTCAAAAAAGGCTCCTCGACCTTAACTACAAGAAATGTTGACGCTAATTTGCACATAATTGTCACCCAAATAAATAAATAGATGAATACGAAGAATCTCGTTGAGTAATTTGTAATTAGTAAGTATGATCACCTATGAAATCAATACAGAATAATTTTAAGGTGTTTGATGCTTATATCACACAGATGTTCCGTACTGTAGAATTGTGAATGTTTATCTAGCCGTAGTTACGAAACGAACTCTCTAATTGTGTAATGAAACCTGCAGATACTGGTTAATTAGCTTTTTAGAGTGTATACAGACATGATATATTAATTTATTCAGAGACTGTGTGTATACCATTTAAGGGATTTCTTGAATTTAGATCCCAAGAAGAACTGAATTCATTGAAAACAAACATGGAAAAGACCAAAACTGCTACAATAACAAAACTTGAAAGTTCTTTGGATGAAAGGTAACCTATATATGAATTGTTTTTAAATTTTTACCAATAAAAAATCCTGTGTTAATAGAATAGGTCATCTGCTAGAATGTATAAAGAACTCAGCAAATCACTGGCTTTTTCGAAATCTACCTGATACAGATTGTTCAAATGATTTAGAAGAATAGAAAAATGAAGGAGGGGAAATATCCCTGCAAGAGGATAATTAAAACTCCAGGTTTCCATGTTAATTTGTTTTCTGAAACTTGTCAACTGACACTTGTTACAAGTGAAAAGAAAACAAGTTTCAAATTACTGTTACTGTCGTTGTGCTATGTTATGCTGCTTTTAGTTTTTTTTTCACTGTGGTATTTCGAATAAATAAGTTGAACAAAATGAGTGGTATTTTTTAATGAATAATGATGTGATCGGCTGACGTTTTTCAACTTTATAAGTTGTACATTCATTATATACTTCGATCATTATTAGATCTATGACTTTCTCTCCTAAAATTATGTATACTTTTCATACTGAAAACGTCACGCATTTATAACTGGTCCTGAACATAAAACCATACAGGAAAAAGGGAAATAAGCCAAATTCTGTCGATTACTGCTTGTAAACATGTTTTCAAAGGACAGTCAGACTGGACTATATATATACATATATATATAGCAAACTGAATAACTCACGTTGCAATGGTTTCCAGAGGGGTATGGGAAATTATTGAGGAATGATTTAACCAGCCATCTAAACCTTCGCTTGCTCAAAATTTTGATGAATGATTACCTTCTTTTACTTATGTTAGTATGAATAACACAAATTCAGTAAATGTTCTATTGTTTTCTTATTAGCAATCATTTGAGCCTTGGGAAAATATTTGAATAGATCAGAAATAGTTTTCATTTATTGCAGTAACAGATAGTATCTGTAATTAATTAACAGATATTTCAATTCGATTATTTATTATTATTCGATTTTGACATAATCATGGACCCAGCATTAGTTGGTGTATAAACCAAATAATTCACTAAAATTCACTGGCTTACTTTTACCAATATCCTTAAAAGCTGACTAATACTCAGGAGACAAATTTCATCAAACTTATTGCATAAACTCATTCTCGTGTATAAATAGTGCAAAACAATATCCTAAAAGGTTAAATAAACTGATTTTATAAGACAGTAAAGCGAAAACTATTGTATGAGAAGGAGAAAATGTTTCCAAACTAACATCCTCCCAGGTGTTTAAGAATTAGTGATGTGTTTCATAATATATTCAAGCGTTGCTGCTTTTTTTGAAGCATAATTTCCAAAAGGTTCCTACAAAAGACTTGGTATTCCAAGAGAGATTTCTCTTTATTAACGCTTTAGGATGATAATGAGACTGAGAAGAATTTTATATATATGGGAGATGTGGTCATTTTCAATCAATTTAGTGGACTTGGTAAAGCTTAAAATTCCAACTGGTGCCTTCGTGATTATGTACTAGAAAGTAATCATTTCAAAAGAAGGCCAGAATTAACTGTGGTATTGGCAGAAATTCCACTACATAATACTTTCTGTAGTTTGTATTCATTAATGACAGATAAGACATAGCAAAGCCTATAACTTAAATGTTTGATATTGAAGAAAGCTACTTTCCGAGTACAAGATTTAGGGATCTGCCAGAATTAAGGGCTGACTGCTTTTATAGTCCAGTAGACAGATTAATTTTCATTTTACCTTCAAACTTGCTATTTATGATAACAAGGAAATGATGCCATGAAAATGTTTACTGACTGACTGGTTTCAATATAGGACTGCACAGAAGTGCAGCGGTTCGAGTTGCCACACTCTTTATATGGCACACAAAAGAAGATAGATTCAAAAGAATCATAATAAGCAGAAATGTGAGGGGGAAAGAATAGTAACATAGAAAAAGCAATAGGATTTAATAGATATGGCAGATCACAGAGAGTGAATGTATCTACGCCACTGAGAACGATTTTGAACCGTATCACTAATTTTTACGAGTTGATCACGGATTGATATCAGTTAGAGATCAATTCGTAAAAAAAAACAGACTAATCCTTACAAACCAACTATAGAATTGTTTCTAGCCACTAGTTCTTAGAATTCTGAAAACCCAAACCCGGCAGTCTACACCTCTCTGTGTGGCTCAGACTATCGGTCTAAGATTTCATGGACGGATCACAAGTCTTGATTTAACCATGAGTAGTTCTTTTCCAACTTGATAATAACATTAATCTTTGAGGAAGGAGATGACTAGGCATTTGTAACACATTTCATAGTCATCTCAGTTGGTATAGCTTCAAAACTTCATCGACCGAATTTCCCTACTTACTTAACACTCGACGCTTAACCTAAATATTACACCACCTATTATACTGCCTAACACTTACTAACAAGCATTACTTTGTAAAAAGAAATTAAACAAATTATCATCATACTTATAATCTGAATTGCTGAACAGTCATAAAAGTTATCTTTAAATGGTTTGAAATAAATAAATAAATAACTCCATATATGTGCGAATTGGTAGAAAACCCAAGAACTATGAATGACCTTAATTTGATAAAACTATTAGTTGGTGTAAGAAGACTATTTATATGTTGGTTCCATTGGTCAAGTAACTAATCAGACTTTTTCTTGCCATTTAAGTACAAGCTATATATAATAGATAAAAAAACAACTCATAGTACTTTCTAAAGCTTATTCGAATGCACTAATAACAATAATGCTAGTATAATTATCTGTTTAAACAAAAAATTTTCTTCTTAAGAAAAAAATAATGAGCAGTAATGAGTTAGTAAGGCAGAGATCAACAAGTATACCTCGAGTTCCTGATAGTTATACAGATACAAATTCTGAGCAGACATCTCTTCGTACACGAAGTATATATCTTGTCTATCCACCTCCAGTGAAATATGATCCAGCTCCACCGCCTAGAATTGATCCCTATTTCTATTCTAAACAATGTAAAACTATGCTAGCTGAAACTTCTAATGCAAGTCATTATATTCATGAACGTGCAAATCTTATGCTACGCAAAGAATATGAGCGGTTTCATAACCAATGGTCTTCTTATTATTATGGAAATAGAAGAGAGAAGGAGGATTATCGGTAAGTCAGTTTAGCAATATAACATATCATGTATTATTTACCAATCATGCATATATGTATGTAAAGCTCTAAAGTGAATTCATATTAGAAGATGAAACAGGTTTTTATGAAAAACTATTATCCAGTTAAAAGTTACACTTAATTTTGTAAGAATATATAACACTTGAATAATTTATTTATCATGCTCTTTGATAATGAGAAGAATAGTCAAAACAGGCAATTCTAGTCATCTATGAACACTGTCAAAAGATATGACGACAAGTTATCGCATACAATTCAAGCATTGTGATGCTTAATTTGCCCTGAATGCTTTGGATTTTACTACTTCTTGGAATAAAAAGATTGCCAAAATACTGACAAATATTTATTACACTGTCGAAATCTAAGACTCTGATTAAGCAAGGAGGAGAAGTGTAAAAACGTTTTGATTACTATACTAGTTCAATCATTTCTTTTTATTTTATATTATATACAATATTCTGTCCTGTATAGCATTAAGTGAAGGTAAATATTTACACTAACATTAATTATGGGCTTTTAGACCACTGTGTGATAGTTTTAGGTTGACGAATAATTATGTATCGCTGGTAATTTTATCTTGCTTATCTGGGTTGATTACGGTTTCCCTCGGGCAGATGAATATTTGTCAAGTTTTTTTAAATTTTATTTATTATGAAATGAAAAAGTGGTTCAATGAAGAGTTTCCTTCCCATGACTGTATAGATAAAGTGAATGAAGTCATCTAGAAGGGACTGTTTCCTGAACCACATGCTATTCTCTTTTTCATGTCTTAATGGCTATTTCCAGTGCATTATTTTCTGTTTGTCGATGCAAACACTTTGTGTTAACGATGTCAAAAGAGTTCTATTACATTCTAATGTTCTTTTATCGACAAAACTCTTAGAAGAAGTGAAACAGTCTTTCCTAACTTCGTTTACACAATAATCCTTACTGTTATAATAGTTTATTGCTTTCGTTTATTAAGTCAGTGATGCAAACGACTGGAGCTACACATTATTTTTTAAAAACTACTATTTTATCAGTTATCTGAAACATGAAAAAATACAACAAAAGTGAAATCTTGAAATAAAGTATAAAGTGAAAAAATAAACATTATTTTGCACGTATTTCCCAAAATATCTATTTATGCATTAAGTAGTATAGAAATGCTAAATGAAAATATGAAATCGGTGACGATCTATACAGTGCGTGCGTCCGTATTCTATTAAATGAAAGAAAAATATCTTGATCGTGAACCAAATAAATTAGATTTTGTAAATCCATTTGTTCATTTTAATCAAGTAGTAAATTTTTGTCGATATTTCTTATAAGAATCAAATACAGATTTAGGAATTATACTGAAAAATTCTCCATTTGTGTAACTCGGTATTTATGGAGAAGCAGATATTGTATATTTATTCATGCTTATATGCAAATTACTATTGTTGAGATGTGCTTTCGCCTCCTTCAAATATCACTTCATTTTAGTGAGAACTTCGTTTGTTTAGATATTTCACCAAGAGTAGTTAAGTAATTACTATAATTTATTAATAGCTAGTATGAACATAATATTTAGCAAGGAGACTTTTTTCAACGAATTTATTATCAAGCTGTACAAACGCTACATATATATATATATATGGTTTTTAAGAAGTTGTATCGCATGAGGAGATTTAAACAAAGGTGTGAATACAATTGGTGGATGGTGAATAGCAATTGAATCCAGGATGCGCATTGCTTTCCATTTAGGACTCGCCATATGGATGTACCTGCATTCTCTCGTGAGTGGTGGTTTTCCCGCCAAGGCTCGAACCCAGTACCCATAGTTGCGCAAGGCTCTCTTGGCCCAAGTGATCTAGTGGATAACGCTTTGGCGTTTGAAACGATGGGCACTGGGTTCAAGCCTCGATGGGAACGCCACCTTTCACTGGGGAATGCAGGTACATCCAGATGACGAGTCCCAAATGGGACGCAACGCGCCTCCTGGATTCCACTGCTAGTCATCATCCACCAATTGACTTCAAGTTACATGACCAGACATCGTGGAAGCATCTGCACAATGAGCCGACGTGTCAATCTGAGATTGAGCACTTTAGTCCAAACAATCGACGGGAAAATACATAACAGAATTAAAGGTGTGAATACATAAAATAATAATGGTATGAAATGCAGTTAAACTGTGTGATAATAATCATAGTTAAATATCAAGTGTCAGATGGCAAAACAAATTATGATATATATGTAGATGTATATATAGAATAGTTCATAGAAGGTAAAGATGTTGGGGCGGGGTGTATAACTATATGCTTAGTAGGCAAATATAAAACATTACGTAATATGGCGTGTACTTTGATAAGATAGAATTTTAAATAATTTATAATGATTCAGTCTGACTTGACGCTTGAATTATTTTGGGAAATTTGTAACATCTATGATCTGGATGCTTATAATCTTGCTGGACGACTGTTTCGCCCTGGTTTGAGACTCCTCATCAGTACACGCTCCCTGCGGTTCGGACCCAGTACCTTCCAGTTACGACGCACGCCCATAGACCGTTCAGCTACAGGGACCCAACTCAATGGCCTATGAATTCCTACTCCCGCCAATAAATAGGCAAGTAACTGTTCCGTTACCAGACGAATTGGTAGAAGCTGGAATTCAAACGCCATTGTATCGGCTCCCAGTGGCTGAATGAATTACGAGATCGCCTTGTTGCTGGAAGGTCCTGGATTCGAACCGCAGCGGGTGCGCACTGTGAGGAGTCCCAAACTAGGGCGAAACAGCTGTCCACCACTTCCAGGTTTTCCAATAGTAGTTGTAGCAATAATAATAATAACAACAATCGTAATAATGAGGGAAAGGTATATAGAATAACCAAATAAACAAAAATAAGTAAACGTTTATCCCTTCAAGGCCAAGGTGGAAATAGGGATTTTACATAGTTCTTTTGTGCACATGGGTCTGACTTGAATCCATAAATGACCAAGGCCTCTTCTGTCTTTGGAAGTTTAGGATGAAGAAAACGTGGCAAGATAGCATGGATTCGAGAGGTGATCTTAAAATCACGGTTGGTTGATTGACAGAAGTCGGTCAGTAAATTTGTTGTGAATATTGTGTTCTTAATTCGACTATGGGAATTATTAAATTAAAGATTATTAGACTGACACTCAGCTTTTTGATCTACTAAAGCTAACTCAGGTGGTAAAACACTGGACAAGAGACCTACAGGTCTCTAGTTCAACTTCCTTTTTCGAAGTGATTTAACGTAGTAAATTTATTCTTGAAGCTATCTTAGATGGTCTGACTAACAAATAAGGGAATATTCGTGTTTCATTCGTATCACTGATCTCCTAATTTCGACTAAGGATTAAAACTGCCATTTTTTCTGATCACGCACTTATAATTAAAAACTTGGAGTAGACAAGCGACCAGATTTGATGGTAGAAACTTCAACATAATAGTGCTTCTATTTTATAAGGAATGCCAAACGCCTTAAATCAAATCAATGATGTCAACATAGAGAAATGGAATGTTTGAAACACTTTGAAAGAGAAAATATGGTGAATTCAAAAAACAGCAAAGGATTGTAAAACAGCCCTATCAATATATAAGCCAAAGTATGAGATTTGTGTTCACTCTTTGTCATACATTTATGCTAATTTCTTTTGAGGTGTATCAGTAAACACGTTGTTCTTCACTACATATAACACTTTTATATTTAACCATAAACCAGGTGCCTTTAGAATTAAAGTGTCCCCCAAACATGAGTGTCACAAATATAAAGGGATTTGACGGTCAATCATCCACTACTGATATCTTTGGCATAAGTTTCACTAGTGCAGGAAGGTAGTATAGTTGTGCAGTATGAAAGAAAATATGATAAAATTTAACTATTACTTATAAAAAAGCGAACAAAATAACCATTGATAGATATGAGACTGCTATCTTAATATTTATCAGTTTTCATAATTTAATTACTACGTTAAATGGTTGGGGGCAATCGGTAGGAAGCCCTGAACTTAGGTTTTGTGCTTTTTGACACTTATCAGTGAGGGGTATCTGAACTCCGATGAGATTGACGCCCCCCCATCTGAGAATCAAGTCCGTATCAGCCAAAGACGTTACCATTAAGCTATTCGGGCTCAAGGTGAACCTCCTGTGGGACTGTTTTGGATACACTGACTGGTTACCAGGCTGTAACTAAGGTTTTATGTCCAATTCCTCTTGTTGGTGCTGGCTGAACTCTATCAACCAAGCCTGCAATGTGGTCATCAACCTAGGTAACTAGTCATCCCCGGGCACTTTGAAATGATGTTAGATGATTGGTGGCAATAGTCAAGGAAGCTCTGGACATGAATAATTAAGTGAGTATACACTAAAGTTATTACTTTTAGTTTACTTGTAATCAATAACTTAACCTATTGTCTTCACCAATCCTTATCAAACACATAAACCTAACTAAAAATTGTATTTCCTAATCAAAATCATCACGGTAATTTAAGTGAGAATTGTTTGATTAATTTTAATTTTGCCTCAACAGGAAATATATTCGTGAAGGATTAAAACAACAAATGATGGATAAAATTAAAAGAAAAAAAGAAGAATGGTTGAGTAAATCAGCAGGTAAATCGATATTTTTTTATCGAATAATAATTGATCTCGATCAATGCAGAAGCTAAACAAATCCGAGATGATTGTGAAAAATACTTCCATAATAAAAGAGTCAGTGAACAGCAGAAACGTGCATTTCTACTCACATTCAGGGATATTAATAAGAAGGTAAACTATACGCCATACTTCATTTATTACTCTAAATATAAATGAGTTATTTTATTCATATTAAATCGAAATTTAGCTTATATTGTGACTGTATTGACACAGAAAAAAAACATTCCAAGTATTATCTAGAAAGTGATTTGAACACCGGTAAAGATGATGTTTTGCTAAAGAGTATATATGCAATCTCATCTTTCTTAAATAACTCTTTTTCAGAGTTACTTTTCATTCGCATCGATTAATTTTTTGTCTAATTTTATTGCTCAAATAGTTCAGCTTTGTGAGCTTCAGTAGATAAGTGTAGCTTGATTGCTTCTAATCTTTTATTTACTGGTTAACTAATGAACAAGATATCTTTTCAGCAATTTCATTCTGAAAAGCCATACAGTAGGAATTTGTATACATAGCTGCTTAAAAATCTCTGTAGCAACCCTGAATGTGATATTTTCTTGTCGACCATTGCTTTCAAAACAATTCGGAAGAATAACTCTGGCACATATCCACTACAATGTGTGCACACCATTTTATCTGATCCTGTGGAGAGAAGTATATAGTTTGTTATTTACGTGTCTTTTTAAAATGCGTTAGAGAACACTGCTCATCATGGCTGAAAAGAGGCAGCACCGCTTCAATGAGAAGAACTAAAACCAAACATTTCATTGGCACCTGTCACAACATATCAACAGACTCATCATTCATAGTCGTTTAGAAAGTAAACAGAAATCTACCAAAGACACTGTGTTTTCGATTCCATTGTAATTAAGAAGCCCTCGCCATATGCTCTGCAAGTCACAGCTATGTCCTCAAAAAATAGATGCACTACCATAAATCAAATCTTGTTCGCTTCCTCTTTCCATTGCTGTTTTTTCCCATTTCTTTCTGGTTTTTCCTAATCTTCAGTTGTAAGATAACATTTCAATCTGTTTCTGTTCGCACTCTGATCATACCTGTCTTCTCTAAAAACTAATTTTCTTGACATTATGGAACTATTTTCTCGTATTACTTTGGTTTCTATACCCCTTGGGTTGCTTATCATCTTTCAGCATACCTGCAAACTTTCACACCAAGTTGAAAATTACTGTTTCCTTTAAATCTCACCCTTGTTACTATGTCGAATTAAACGTTAGCTGTAACTGCGCGAATTATTGCACATGAAATGCTTATGAACAGCTACTGAGAATGACGTCGCCAAAAAGATATCTTCACTAAATAATTTTGGTTTTTCATCTGATGTCGTGGATATTTTCCATGAACGGATGAATGAATAACTGTTACTTATTAGATTTCGCAGAGACAACTCTTTATGAGTCATACATTCTAGGTCAGTAAGTGTCAGTCTTTCATCTATGGTATTATTTGAGCGATATGTAATTCTTATTAAGTCTTATATTTCCCTTCATGATGATGTAATTAATCTGTTTGAAGAATCCATGGCTTCTGCTTTATCAAAAAGGAAGATAACTGCCCCCAGTTTTTTTGACTAAATTCTCAGCTATCATTTCAAAAAATGAGGGATTTGCGAGAAGTTTGTAACTTTTATTCACCATATTGATTCCTGAGCTATGAAAATACAAAGGAATATTTGTTACAGGAGTTCACCATGAGCTGACATTGGTTAGAGAATCATTGATTTACGAGCTGAATTTGGAATTCATGGACTGGCCATTGGATCGGGTCCAGTGGTCTAAGAGCTCACCTTGTAGCCAGAAGGTCCTGGGTTCGAACCCTGGCGGTGGGTGCGTACTAACGAAGAGTCCCAAACAAGGACTAAACAGCTGTCAGGTACTCCCAGCTTGTTTTCCAATGGTTCTCTAACCAATGTCAGCTAATGATGAAATCCTGTAACCAATCAATCAAATCCCTACAAACCAGTACTTGAATACGAGGGAACAAACATTATTCGACGAGTTTAACGGACTTCAGTATCTTTTTCTTTTACTTAAATGAGATTTACTAAATTGTTTTTTTTCTGATAATTTTTGCTGTTATTAATAATGTTCATAGTCACACAAAGTAATCAGACTGAATAAAACTAAAACTAAGTGTTAATGCAATATTTCATTCTACTTCTTATTGCTAGAAATTAGTACAACTCCAAAAGTTTTACTAAACAAAGAGTACTAAACAGACAGATATCTTGTACTTTTCAAATGATGCCTTATAGTAGTACAAAATAATAACATACCTATAAATCGATTTAAGAAGTAATCTTGATATTATACGATTTTCAGATAGCTTAGTGCATTAATGGTAACAGTGTTTATGAATTTTGCTGTAAAGAATACTTATAGAAAAATTATATTTGTTAATAAGCTAGTCATTTCAGTCTTAAATCAGCAGAAGCTGAAAATTATGCGGGAATACATGAAATTTTACACAATGATTACTAAATGAAAATCGGTGGGGGTGAAGTAACCCAGTTTTCCATTCCTTTCACGTTCCCACTGGGACACCAGGCTAACAAGCTTGAGCTCTGAAGTCACAGTAGCAATGATGTTTTTTAAGGCATAGGGTTTCTAGCCTCTTCTCTGGGCTTATTACCGGCTAGACAAGGTTTAGCGGTTCATCAGCTAAGAATCGAGCCCACGTCATGTGTGGAGATGTTGAGCATTCTACCATTAAGCCACCAAGACACAAAAGCTGTCACACTGAAAGGAAAGTTTTACACTTTTATTTGGTAAATTATTATTTACAGAATTTTCTTTCTAGTTGCCAATCACTTCAAGGTATTTACGAATAATTAACAAACCGGAGTGATAGAATTCACATTCAGAAGCAAGAACTAGATAACACTAAAATGTTCACTCCCCAATGATCGGTCTGTTACAGCCCTATTGGAGGGAGGTCAATAGCAGCCAGAATACGTATTGTTTATGTTGTGCTTATTACGACTCATCAGTTTGTCTTAAATCAAAAGACAGCTCATATCAATCAGCTTACAAGCACATTACAAAACGAAGGAAGTAAACAGATGTATCTTTCAGTAGCTCATTGTTTTTAAATGAAGACAAATATTTTCGATTGCACACTAGTCAATAACTAGTGTAATGCGTCTAGTCCTATATTCCGTGCAGACTGAATTCTATCAGTCATGCTTGCAATGTGGCCACCATTCTAGGTGGCTCGCCATTACGGTGCACTGTGAATTGCTGGTATTAGATGGTTGGAGGCAATCGGCAGGAGGCTTTGGACCTAGGTTTCGCGCTAGTTGGCACTCATCAGCAAGGCGTATCTGCAACAGGAGGTCAGTCGCGAGCCTGAATAGCTCAGTGGTAACCTCTCTGACTGCAGCACTGGGTGACGTGGGTTCGAATCTCAGAAGGGACATCAGTTCCTTCAAGGTTGCAGATGCGCCTTGATGATGAGTGCCAACTAGCACGAAACCTAGGTCCAAGGCTTCCTGCCGATTGCCTCCAACCATCTAATACCGTAGACAAATATTACCATCCATTCACTACTTTAGTAAACAAACCACTTTTACATAGTGATTTTAAAATGAGGTAGACTGAGATGGAGACAATACTCCAAAAAGAAAGGTCTGATGCTGTCTGTTTATTAAGATATTTTAAAAACACGATCTTTTAGGAAGTATTTAAACGACAGTACGTCTTAATAATATGACAGTTATTGGGGGTAGGTAATTAGTATACGATCGTTGTGAGTAGCAGGATAAGGGGTTGGTTTAGTGGTTAATAACACTGAAAACAAAATGAAGGTTAGGTACTCAGGTCACTACCCATCTAATGTATTTTTAATGAATATAATAAACAGGGAATTTGGTATCAGACGTTGGGAAATAACTGTGTATTATCTTCGCCTGACTTTGTTTTCATACTACTAGATATTAATAATAATAATAGTATATTCTCATTTTTTACATGAGGGACGCCAGTTTACAGGCATCATCAATATGATAAATTACATATACGATTAGTAAGCATATTTAATAAAAGTAATTCAATAAAATACATTTTTCCTACCTGTGTAGGACACACCAATTGTACAGGCATGGATAAGTAATATTTAAATTACATAAATTTGGTTCATGGTAAAATTATAAGGTTGCAGTCATTTTGTCTATGGGAACAATATGCTAACTAGTCATTCAATGGAACACATCAAGAAATATAGAAATATTGTCTTCGCATTAACAAAAAAAACCCAAGTATGTTTTGGATGGATTACAAATACTTGGGAAAAAAATAAAGCTTGAAGTAATTCCTCCATATAACTTTGGTGTGTACGGCATCGAGTCTTATTCTTGATTTATATCCAAATTTGATAATAATTTAAAATAAGTAGTACACTTGTATACTTTTGTCAGCATTTTCTTCGTAACATCACAAGTGAATAGTACTCAAAGTAGACTAATAATAATGACAGTTTATATTTTCTTATAAACGGGTGCTTTCAAGAAATGCAAGCTATTTTTGCAGACAAGATCAGTTATGTTGTAAGTTACAATCGTGAAGTATTATAAATCAATACTTTTTTTATTGGTATAAAGGTATATTTCGCAACTGTAATCCAGGTTGGTCGTTGGTTAGGAGTAAATTCAACTTCAAGGAAAATCATGTTTTTTCTGAAATGTGGATGTAGACCATTCAATCTCTAAGTGAGACTTTGTCATTATGCTATTTACATAACCATGAATATGAATGTTTGCTGGACTGTAACCGATAAATTTAATGTGCTTTCAGTGCTGACCATAGCTAAATGACTATTTTGAGATCGATACTATCAAAAATGTGGTATCCCTTAGTGACATGGAATCGCTGACAATATCCCCTGCTTGAAGTGGTAATCTTTTCTAACTCATAAAATAGCCTTTCTAGAAGAGTTCCTAACATAAATGTCTAGCTGACGGCCTGAAATCGAACTCCATGTACGAGGTCCGGTGTTCAACTCCTGGCCGCCGCACACCTTAACCTCGCCTATCCAATTGCAAGCCCTACAAATGGGGAAGGTTGTGCGTGAGGCTAGAAACTACACCCAGCGAAAAACACCACTGCTACTGAAATTTCACAGCTCAAGCTTGTTCCACTTGG